TTTTTTTTTTTTTTTTTTGGTCTTTTTGAGACGGTCTCCCTGTAGCCACAGGTGGCCTGGAACTCACCTTGTAGACCATGCTGGCCTCAATCTCAGAGATCCACCTGTCTCTGCCTCCAGAGTGCTTAAAGTTGTGTACTGCCACCACAGCCAGCTTATTTCTTTGAGTAGGAGAGAGACAAGAGGGGGCAATGGACAATGGGAGGTAAATATCAGAATACATTTTATGCATGTATAAAAATGTCATCATGAAATTCACTGTGTGTAATTACTATATGCTAATAAAAACTTTTTTTCTTTTTTCTAAAGTTTCATGTAGTGGAGTCTGACCTTGAATTCCTGATCCTCCTTGCCTCTACTTCCCAGGTGTTAGGATTAGGATTTTAGGTATGCCCTAGTGCTAGTTACCAATTTTTTTTTTTTTGTCTCTTAGTGCTGAATGCACCCTTTATTCAATTCTCTTTAATATGTAATTCAGCCTTAAGCAGGCATCTTTGCTCCAGCCTCTCTCCCTGCTTAGCAAGTTTTGCAGTGTTATAAGGTAGGAGAAGGAAACAGGTGGGTGGGAGACTTGGGCTGTAAAAATGGCATAAATCAACAAAAAGGCATTTTATGATACTGAAGAAAAGTGCATGATTTATTATCACATGATATTCAATAATTAAGAATCACTATTAATTTTGACAATGATAATGGTATTATTGTCACAGACCTTACTGTCCTACAGTTTTATTGAGGGATCTGTTTTATTACTAAACTATTTACATTGAGGATACAGTAAAGTTTATAGCTTTCTTCATGTTTTAAAAAGAATCACAGAACAGCTGAGTTCATAATAGTCTTGTCTGGATTCATAGGAGATGGATTCCATTCAATAACTCCTTGTATCAGCCACCTGGAAGATTAGTCTATCGCCTTTGAAAGACTGGTTGTGTTGGCATCTGCTATAGTTGCTAAATAAATGAGATTTCTATGTAATACATGCTGGTACCTGTGGGTGAAAAACAGGCAAAAATTAGATGCTTGTGTTTACTGACCATGCAAGCTAGAAGAAAACCTCTCCAATTTACTGGAATGGCTCCATCCACTGACTGATGACACAGGCCACCAGCTTGTTTAGCACAGGGTAGAATCTGGTCCATTCTCACCACTTTCACAGGTACCCCTCTAGATAAAATCACCATTATTTCTTCTTGGACTAGAGCAGTGGTCTTTTAATTTCCATTCTCCAGAGTCTGAGAGATCATTGCACAATTTAAATCAAGACCCTGTTGTAACTCTTTAAAATCCTCTAAAGATTCCTATGTCATTCAGAGGAAGGTGGAACCCTTCTTGTGTCCTATAAGGTCTTACATGATGGGGTTTAATTCTGTGTGGTCATCTCCAATGGCTTTTCCTTTGTTGAGTTCTGGACACAAGGGCCTTTTTGGTGTGACAAGAGGATATCCAGCATCTTTCCACTGAAAGCTCTCTGCCCTTACTACACAGCTTGTTCCCTTGGCTCCAATGTTACTATTCTATGTAACACTCTACTTCTTCCCACTTACCCTACTTTTTTTTCTGCAGTGCTGGAAAATGAACCCAGGGCTTCATGCACCTGCTAAGCAAGTACTCTTCCAGTGACCTACATCCCCAGTTCCTTGTTATATCCCATTCAAAGCACTTATGTGTTTAATTAATTTCCTCCCTCTGGATTATAGAATGTCAGCTCCACAAGAGGAGAGCTGGTATCTTTTGTGCTACTGATTCCCTAGTACCTCACACACTGCCTATTCCAGGTTCATGGTGTGCAATACTACAGGGGTGATTCTCAACTGGGGCAGTGCTCCCCATTCAGGAAGAGCCATCAGACTAGAGGCCAGCAAGTACAGCCTCTGCAATGTGAAAAAGCCAACTAGAAGATGTGCCTACCTGTCTTTATATATATCGTTATTTTTATTTTATATACATGAGTGTATTGTCTGCATGTATGTGGGTGAACCCATGTCGCACAATGCCTGCAGAGGTAAGAAGAGGACACTGGATCCCCTGGAAGTGGAGTTACAAACAGTCGTTAACTGCTATGTGGGTGCTGGGCATCAATCTTGATTGCTGAGCCATCTCTCCAGCTGCCTGGATAGCTTTCTTATCCCTAAGAATCAGAGTATCAAAGAGAATGTGCTACACCATTTTCTGTATAGGAAAAAAAAAAGGAAGTGTTTACTATAAACTGTAAAAATGTGAATCACCAAATGTTGGCGGCAAACACAAAAATGGATAGCTCTACTATTCCATTAATGTGCTCGGGCAGGGGCTGCAGGCAAAGAAAGTATAATGTTCTTAAATGTTTCAATACAAATATGGTCTGACTCTCTTACTTATCGGGGATGGAAGAGAGACCCCAGATGATAAGAAAGAGGCCATGGCTCTCATCTGAGCCTGGCCTTCGGATGCTTCCCTATCTACTCCATCTGTCATCAGCTGACCTGGCTTCATGTGAAGCCTTGGCTAACTCCAGGTTCTGCCATATACTGGCTAGATGGCCTCTGCAGTTAAATAACCTTTTCCAGCAGAAACAGGTTCTTGCTATGTCGTCCTGGCTGGCCTCGAACTTGCGGCCATACTCCTGCCAAAGCCTCCAGAGTACTGGGATTCCAGCGTTCAGCACAAAACCAGGCTATGCTGGATTGCCTGTTTTGTGCCTCCCTTTTCAGGACTACATCATCTTTCCTCATCAGCGCTCCATCACGCACTGGTGTAGCATGGTCCTCCTTCCCACGCCCAGTTTCGAAGGGGCACTTACTGCACGCACTCGTTCGCGCGGCCCTTGTTCTGATACTCCACGATACAGCGGATTAGCTGGTCATTCTCCTCCAGGAGCTGCAAGATGGGTGAGCGCAGGGCGCCGTCAGTGGGGTGGGTGTCCCGGGCCGGCCGCCATTCCCCACCTTGGGTGCACGCTCCGCAGACTGTCCCCACCCGGGTCCCGCCACTGGAGGAAGGCCCCGCACTTCCTCCCAGCCGCAGGGTCGCCGCTGGTCTCTGAAGCTCACCCGCTGGATGGTCTCCTGGTTGACCTTGGCCTTGCCCCGTAACCAGTCCGGAGCGAAGATCACCGACATGCTGCGGACAAGATCCAAGCCCGAGCCCGGAGTCTCACAGCATCCAGAAACCTACCCGGAGAGCATGCGCCTTAGGGCCCCGCGGGGGTTGGGAGGGCGGGGCACAGCCTCGACGCCAATTGGCTACACCTGCCTAAGGGGCAGGACTCACGAGTTTTTCCCGCTACACCCCGGCTCTCTGCGCTGAGGGCGGTCTGCGCTTGCGCAGACTGTAACGCACCCCCCAAGGGGCGGGGCCTGAGTGATGACTGAGGGCTAAAGGCTGACCCTTCTCTCCACGTCTCCTGGAGCTGCTTTTCCGAAGCTGTCTTGGAAATCGCCTAGCTCAGGATCCTGCAGGATTCCTGGCTCCAAGTCCGCTTCCTTTCCGTCCTTCCGACTTGACTCTAGTTTGTGTCGGACCACACAGGAAGGTACTGATGTTAGTTTCCTTTGTGCAGAGGAGACACACTTGAGACTGCTTCTAGATTACCGCTGCACGCAAACACACACACACACACACACACACACACACACACACAAAATGCTTAGTTAGGTTTACAACCCTCAAAACTACAAGCATTTTCTCCATCTTACAGATCAGAAAACAGGTGAAGGAATCTCCCCTAAAGTCCTATTAGTTAATAAAGACAGAACATGAACACATGGGCAGTGTGGCTTAAGAACCCTCTTAGATTCTGGCCCTCATTATCAATGCATAGTACTAAGAAAGTGCTCTGCTGAGGCCAGATGGAATAAGGGACCTGGGCTACCTTCATGGGCCATGTCATTGCTCCTGGTGACTACTGTAGGTAAGACGTAGTCACCTACGTAGTTACCTGCTACTGTAGGTAAGGCCTACTACTCATCCTTGGTGGTTGTGCTAGCCCAGTGTACTGCTAGAGTCTAGCCTCTGCTCAGACCACGATATCTGCAGCAGTCTCCTCTCTCCCTTTGACAGATACCCACAGGGACCCTACTGAAACATTGTGAGTCTCTAGTTAGCAGACAACTCCAGTGCCAGGATATCTCACCTGGGAAGTGAGTTTAAATCAAAACCACACATCTTGTTCCTCATTCACTTCCCTGCCTCTTGCTTGGGAATCCTGAAGCCTAGTTGCAGGGAAACCTTCCTCATCCTCATGGAACTATTAAGAAGAGGCTCCTTCTTCTGCAACATGGGCCCTGATTCCCTTCTGAGACCTTCCCATACATACTGTCTGTCTCTAGAACTGGGGCCTGAACTCTCCTTATATCCCCAGCCATGCTATTAATAACTCCTCTAATACACTCCTTACTCCCCAAGTAATCCATCTCAGTGACCTCTTGAATGTCCCCCTTCCCCATCTCTAACCCAACACTTGCAAGGCTGGTTTTCCCTGAAGCACACAGTGAACAATGGGTCACTTCATGTAGGACGGAGATCATGGGGAGCTTCCTAAAGCTTTGTTTCCCTGAGTGGTGATCAGAGCAGGCTTGCCTGCTTTGTGGGGCTTTCCCTCTACAATCTCTCTATTCAGGCTTGTAAAGCAGCAAATTCCACCTCATTTCACAGCAGTGGGATCCAATAAGAGAAGTGGGGTAACTTCCCTGAGTAGATCAGGACTCAGAGCTGTATTGTTAACCCCACATCACACTTCTTCCCCAGAGAAATTTCCCAGAGTGTCTACAGAAGACAAATGGACAGAGAAGGAACCATTAAGAGCAGGATGCAGGCCTTGCTTAGTGCTACTCAGCCCCATTCCTGTTTAGATAGGTGAGGAATGACTATAACATGAGATAGTATTGAGTTGGGGCATGTGCAGGGGATGGACCTGATCCAACCATTTAGAGCTGATTTCCCCCCTTCCCCAGGGCAGGGAGATATCTCAGTATGAAGACCTGGAGATCATGCAAGTGGCAGGACTCAAGTCTGGACTTTATCCTAGAAACAATGGGAAACATGGATCATTTTAGGCAGACTAGTGGTAAGATCCAAGCTGTATAATCATGCTTTACTGCCTGGAAATTTTTCAGCTACATCTTTGATCTTAGTCTGCCTAAAACCAGGCAAGATGCAGAAGCACAGTGAGAATCTGGCTACAGGTGTGCAGGCCAGAGAAGACTGACACAGTGAACAAGACCTGTGTATCTGAGGCAGTAGACCTCGCAGGCCTCAGTGACTGAATGGGGAGGAAGACACAGGTGGTGCCAGGGGCGGGGGGTGGGGTTATAAGAGAGATTCGTGATGCTATTTATGAAGGCAGGGAAGAAGGGTTGGGGATCAGACTGGAAGCTGAGAGTGACAGACATAAGGAGATACTGAAGTTCATGGTTAGCTGTTTGGATTAGAAGCCAGGGAGAGGTGAAGTCTGGACCAGAGAGTGAGCTTTCAGAAACATCACTTGTGGAAACCAATTGGAACCCTATAGCGAATAAGACTGCCCAGGGAGAACGTTGTGGTTTCCCTCATGTAGGAGAAAAGAAACTGCAAAACAGATGGAGAGGGGAAGGGAATAAAATTGGGGGAATGTGAGGGCATAGAACTTAAGGAAAAAAGAATGACTTAGAAGGACAGATAGAGACAGCAGTGACCCATGTTAAAAGGTCAGGCAAGATAAAGACTAGGTCTTTGATGTTGTTGATGGGTGCTGTGGCAGCCATGAAATGAGGCAGAAATCAGAATCTTAGGGTGGTAAGAAACGTGAGACCATTGAGTGTTCAAATGTAGACCTCTATTTCCAAGAGGTTTAGCTGGAAAGAAGATAGAGGTAGCTGGAGGAAGAGGAGTTGCCAGAAGTTGATACACATCATTTAGATGGTGGCTTGCTTTTCAGTAAAGGAAGTACCTGGAAGGGCAAAGAAGGGTGATGAGTGAGGACCTGGGGAGCATGTGGAAGATTTGGAATTGGGTGTGGGGTAAGACTAGGCAGAGAACTTCTAAAATGCATTGAGGACCTGGTTGAGGCTGGCAGTGTATGTAGCATGGGTCCAGGTGGCTGCAGCAGTAACAGCCCAGGGGCAGAATCAGAGGAAATCCATGGTAGGTGAGATGGAAGGATGACTGTGCAAGGGGTATCAGCATGTTGGCAAGAATGTGATATAAGTGATTGACTCTGAACTCTCAACTCATAGAGATGGGAGAGAAAACTTAAAGGAGTTGATGAACTGAACAAAGTTGAGGGACAACTGGCCTAGAAGTTTCCCTAGGCCATAGATGAGTGGGAGGGAGGGAGATTAGGTGAAGGAGAGGGCAGAGATCAAGTGTCTGAAGTTATAAATAGACGTGGAACTTGTCGATGGAGATGTAGAGTTTCTGGGAATGGAGAGCTGATGATGAAAGTAGTCGTGAGCCAGAGTGCCCAGTGACTGGAGATGAGGGCTGGAACTTCAGGCAGCGTGTCTTACCCTGTTGCCCATTTCATTATATGGTAGTGTCTGAGCCTCACCAGCTCCACTAATCAAGCACTCACATTTTGAGTTCTAAGATCCCAAGACTCCTTATTTGAAAAGATCTTTTATTTTTTGTTTTGAGACAGGGTCTCATGTAGCCCAGGCTGGCCTTAAACTATGTAGTTGAGGATGCGTCCTACCACCACCTTCTGAGTGCTGGGATTAGAGGTGTATACCACCACACCCTGTTTATCTGGTGTTAGGGACAGAATCCAGATCATGCATTCTAGGCAAACACTTTCCCAAATAAGCCACATGCCTCCTTCTCTCTCTCTCCCTCCCTCCCTTCTTCCCTCCCTCCCTCCTGCCTTTTTTCTCTTCCTTTTTTTGTGACAGGGTCTCACACTGTACTCCAGACTGGCTGAAAACTCACTATGTCACCCAGGTCCACCTCAAATTCATGGCAAAGCTCCTGTATCAGCCTCCTGAATGTTGAGACTACAGCTGTGAAGCCACCCCCCAAGATAACCCCCACATTTTATAGATCTAGCACCAAATTTTCTCTATCCAGTCCAAACACACATAGTACAGATGTTTAAATTTCCTTTGTATCCATTTTTTTTTCTCCTTTGTGCCTGTTATGACCTAGCTTCCCTATTATAGATGACAGCCTTCTATGGCTTGTCACATAGGCCAGCCTTGACTCAGTGTGGGTGAGGTCTATGCCAGAGCTTGAATACCAGGAGGCTGTGACCCCCGGAAGCTGTCTTGGACTCTATCACAAGTCTTCCTGTGTTCATTCTGTGGTTATGTAAGCCCTGTTTCCAGTTCTACCCACCAGATGATGCCTTTTACAAGTCTTCACTTAGCTCAACCGCTCCACTGCACTACAACCTGTCTGTCCAGTTGCTGTGTTGGCACCTGTATTAAGAGTTCTCTATAAGCTATCTTTAACATACGAGAAGGATTTATTAGGGGATTGGGCTCACATGGTGGTGGAGGCTTACTTAGAAGTCTACAAGCTGGGGAGCCAGGGGAGCCAGTGGTGTGGTTCAGGAGAACTCTACACTAATTTGCACTTGGCCTCAGAATCTGGAAAACTGGGGGCTGGGGTTTAGCCCATGGATAGAGCACTTGTCTAGCATGCACAAAGTCATGGATTTGATCTCCAGGACCATATAAATTGGCCGTAGTGGCACACATCTATAATCCAAGCACCCAGGAGGCAGAGGCAGGAGGATCAAGTTCAAGGTCACAGTCAGCTACATAATTCTCTGAAATATCAGAGAAGTTGATGGTATAACTTAGTGAGAAGCTGAAGACCTGAGAACTAGGGGGTAGAGAGTCATTGGTACAAGCTCTAGAATCAACAGACCAGAGAACTTGGGAGTTTTGATGCCAACAGCAGGAAGATAATGATATTCCAGCTCTAGAAGGAGAGAATTCCCTTTTCCTTTGCTTTTTTGTCCTATCTGGGCCCTGGAATGACTCTATGGTTCCCACCCACAGTCAATGAGACAGTCTTCCTTACTTAGTTGATTCATGTGTTCATAGCTTCCAAAGACCCCTCATAGACATACCCAGAAGTGATGCTTTATTACCTGCATTAGTCAAGGTTCTCTAGAGGAACAGAGTACATATATGATTATAGAAGGGATTTTTCAGTTGGCTCACAACAATAACAGATGAGTAGTCCACAATGGCCATCTGCATCTGGAAGAGCCAGAGAACTCTGTAGCTGCTCATTCCAAGATGCTGGAAGCCCCAGAAAAAAGGGATCAATGACACTGCCCTAGTCCCAGGCTGACAGCCTGGAAGCTTCCTGGAGAGCTTTGGGGTGAGTCTGTGTTGAAATGCAGAAAAAGCTGGGGTCTGATGACCACAGGTGATGGCAGCAGCAGTAGCTACGTCACAGCGAAGATTTCATGTGCTGGCTGACTCCTATCTTTTCTTCCCTTTGGGCCCTCAGCTTATCAAATGGTATGGTCCACAGTTAGGGCATGTCTCCATCCTACAGGTGTACTCTGTACACTTCCTCATAGATACACCTAGAAATGTGCTTTGATAAATGTGCTTTGTCTCTCATTCTAGTCAAGTTGAAAATAAGGATTAAATATCACATCACCCACAGGGATAGCCCTTAATCCAGTCAAACTGACATGTAAAACTAACCATTAACCAAATAACAAGTTTCAAAGATGCTTCAAATCCAACCAGTTTAAGAAGTGGGGATCTTAGCCGGGCATGGTGGCACACACCTTTAATCCCAGCACTTGGGAGGCAGAGTCAGACAGATCTCTGTGAGTGTGAGATCAAGCCAGCCTGGTCTACATAGTGAGTTCCAGGCCAGCTGGGGCTACAGGGAGACCCTGTCTCGGCCAACCTAAAAAAAAAAAAAAAAAAAAAAAAAAAAAAAAGAAAAAGAAAAAAAAAGAAGTGGGGCTGGAGAGATGACTCAGCTGTTAATCAGCTGTTAAGAGCACTGGCCTGCTCTTGCAGAGGCCCAGGCTCAATTCCCAGCACTCACATGGTGATTAATAATTCACCATCAGTATCTCCAGTTTCAGAGGATCCGACACCCTCTTCTGACCTCCTCAGGCACTGCACTTACATACACAATACACTCAGACACATAAAATAAAAATAATTTTTTTTAAAAAAAGAAGTGATGACCAATCTTTTCTTCCACATCAGATCCCTTTGCAGTGTTCTCTTTTGTCTGTGACATCTCCTCTAACCATCTCTTCATCCAAAGATGACCAGTGTTGCCATCCTGGAAGCCACTTCATCCCCTTCCACATCCAGCTCCTCATCAAGTCTTGCTGATTTTGCTGCTACATCTATCTTTGGCCTGCCATGGCCTCTCTACCCCGTCTGCACTGGATTTCCAGTGGGTCCCACTGAAGCTTCCTGGAGCAATTTTGATTTTCACTTTGGCAGCCAGGCAAACTTGCTCAGTTTTGCAATGTCCGGAAATTTTCCACCATGGCCTGTGGGAAGGGCCATATTTAGCACTTTCTAAGAAGAGGACCAGCATAAAGCAATGGGGAACTACTGTGGCTCTCATTCCTTTATGCTTTCTTTTTCTATGGTAAAACAACATAAACATGAGAATTTTAGCCATTTTAAAGTATATAGCTCTGTGGTATTGAGTAAATTTCCACTGTTGCACAACATTCACTATCATTTGCACTTTTTAATCCTCCCCAACTAAAATTCTGTACTTGTTAAGATATTCCCCAATCTCTCAGTTTCCCTTTCTCCCTCAAAGGAGTCCTGGCGCTTTTGATAAAGAGACTTTTGTTTGTGAGATCTGGTCTCATGTATCACAGGCTGTTCTAGAACTCCACATGTGGAGGATGGCCTTGAACTCCCCATCCTCTGTTTCTACCACCCAGGTGATGAAATTGCTGGTGAGTGCCACCACATCCAGTTTATGCAGTGCTGGGGGTCTTGTGCATTCTAGGCAAGCAGTCTATCCATTGAAATACATTCCGAACTTCGATTTTTTTAAAAAAATATTATTTTTATTTTATGTGTATGAGTGTATTGTTTACATGTATGTAAGTGCACCTGTGTTGTATAATGCCCATGGAGGTCAGAAGAAGGCTCAGATCCCCCTCAGAACTGAAGTTACCGACAGTTGTTAGCCACCATGTGGGTGCTAGGAATTGAACCCGGGTCCTCTACTACAAGAGCAGCTAGTGCGCTTAACTGCTGAGCCATCTCTCCAGCCCCAACTTCAGAGTTTTATACATGCTGATGGATATGTCTATCTAAAATACACCACCTCTCCTTTGCTCAACGGCCTCTATTTAGGGAAGCTTTCGCCACCCCCAAGTTGGGGCCAGATGCTCCTGCAAATTCTCTCTAGAACCCTGCTGCTTTGAAGCATGACTTCTTTATACACCCACTTTGCTGTCCGGTACTTAGACCCTGCTCTCCTCTCTTGACATTGTTTCTAGTGTCAGGAGTCGCGTGCTATCTCCATAGTGCCTTGCCCCAAAAAGCAGGGTGGTCAGAATTCAGAAGAGTCCAGGGCCGAACTCCACTACCCAATTTCCCTCCCGCTATGGAGTGAGGGTGTGTCGCTGGGCCTTGGACTTTGGCACCCCCTCCAGGCTGGCAGGAGGCCGTGCTCTTCGGATCATCTATGCCGGGCTCCTGCCCAGCTGCGGAGCCCGCAGAATCCACACCCCGGGAGTGTCACGGAGCCTGGAGGCCTCCAGACTGTCAGCCCAGTCCGCTCCAGGACAGGCTAGAGGTGAAAACCACAGTGCGTCCAGCCCTTTAAGAGCCTCTAAATTCCCGAGTCCGTAGACCGCGCTGCGGAGACGTGCCACGATTGGTCGTTTTGGTGTGAGCGTCGCTTAGCAGCAGCGAATGGGAGCTCCAGGTTTGCGCGTGCGCATCACAGTCTACTTGCTCCCGGGCCGCGGGTGACCTGCGCCTGGTCCACTTTGGGGGGCGGTCTGCGGTTGCCAAGGAGGAGCAGGGCGGTGCGGTGACTCCGGGGGCGGCCGCGGGGCAAGGTGAGGCCGGCAGCTCGGACGGGCGTGGCTCTGGGCGGGCCGGAACTGGAGGTGCGTGGGCTGGGCCAGCCCTACTCACCCGGCCCCGCCGCCGGCTCCGCTATCCGTCCGGCAACTCCCGGTATCCCGGGCTGGCTGGGGATCGGCGGCTGCAGGGACCCGTGGCTGCCCGCTGCGCGCCAGCTGCCCCGGGGGCGGGACTGGGGCGTGTCCCGGAACGTGTTCGAGAGCAGGGGCGGGGCGGTGGTTCCCTTCGTGTTCGCAGAACTCGGGTCTCAGCTTTGGCTTCTTTTAATAGCAAACTTTGCTTAGGTGCTGGTATTCTAAGGTTTGGTGTCTCAAGATTTGGTTATCTTGCACCAACTTATCTGGACAAAAGGGATAGATTGCGCTGGAACTCAGAACCCACCGAGCAGGGGCGGGAGTCAGCTTACAAGGAGCCCTAAAGCCGCGGAAGGAAGAGTGTTGACACTGATGAAAGAAATCAGTGCAGTTTTTGGGTTTTGTTCGTTCTGGTTTTGTAAGATAGGGTCCCCAGTAACCCACGGCTGGCCTTGAGTTTGTGATCCTCCTGCCTCCATCTCCTAAGAGCTGGAATCACAAGAGTGCGGCTACCACGCCCAAATCACTTGTAATTTGTACCAAGATCAGAAAAACAAGCAAAACACACAGCGCACAACCAATGGGTAGGTACTTGCAAAAGTCGATGGAAAGAGCTGATCCTAGTAAAGATCAAATTAGGGAAATGAAAGTGGAGACAGTTTTAAGTGGTTTAACATTGCTAAACCGGAATTGATTGGCACAACTGCTTCCTCAGAAAGACTTGTAGATGGGACGGTTTTTACTGACAGCACAGGGGACATCCGGAGTTCCCAATGCTTTTTGTTCTTAGAGTTTCAGATCAGCTGTGTCCAAGAGGTGGCTAGACAAGATAGCGGACTTTAGGGTATAACATAGTACGTAATGGGAAGGTGGTTTTATTTTATTTTATTTACATATTTATTGTGGTAGTGGGGATTAAACCCAGGGCCTGGGACAAGCCAGGCAAGTTCTCCAGCAACGAGATATATGTATATATCTCCATCTGTGCACCCCTCTTTTATCTTTATTTTTTTTAAAAGCTGGTGTTCTGTAGCCTAGGCTAGCCTTGAACATGCTGTGTAGCTGTGAATGACCTTGAACTCCTGACCTTCTTGTCTGTACCTCCCAAATGCTGGGCAAATGTCTTACCTCACTTAGTAAGGCGGAGTTGTAACAAGTGTAACCTTGGGCTTTTTTCTTTACCAACAAGTCTCTGATTAGTGATTTTTCTTTTTTTGTGTGACAGGATCTGTGTAGCCCCAGCTGGCCTGCACTCCTCAGACCAGGCTGACCTAGATCTCATAGCGATTCTCCTGCCTCTGCCTCCGAAGTGCTGGGATTAAAGGTGTGTGTTACCATGCCTGACAGTTATTATTATTATTGTTATTTTAATTTTATTTATTATTTTTATTTTATGTGTATGAGTGTATTGCCTGCGCCTATGTGAATGCACCCGTGTCTTACATGCTGCAGAGGTCAGAAGAGGCTTCAGATCCCCGTGGAACTGGAGTTTCAAGGACGGTTCATAGCCGCCATGTGGGTGCTGGGGATTGAACGTGGGTCCTTTTGCTCTTAACCACTGAGCCATCTCTCCAGCCCCGACAGTTATTATTTTTAAAACAGGGTTTCTAGCCCAAGATGACCTTAAGTGCTGGATTGCAGGTTTGAACCACCATACCCAGCTTCTGATTAGTTTCTTTTGCAGTGACACTCTGGGAGCAGGAAGTCTTTAGAGCAACAGAGTAGCTGTGATCCCAAAGGTTAGATTTGGAGAATCAGAATGTTGTGGGAAGTATATTTCAAGTATGGAAGTCTTGAGTTTGTAGCTTAGTTGTACCTCTTAATCCTTAGAACTGCAGTTTCCCCACGTGTTTAGTGAGATTATACCACATCCTAGAGAGTTGTAAGTACTTATTAGCATTATCAATGAGAAGGTTCCCAGCATAGTGCCTGGCATATCCAGTTGTCTCTCCACATCCTTGGGGGATTTACAGTGGCATTGGGTTTGCAGGTAATTTATGCACATCTTCCTGTATGCTTCAGATCATCTCTTTTTCTAATTTTTTAGAAGAATTTTGTACATTTACATCATTTTCAGCCCCCCCTCCAGATCTTTCTCCTTTCCCTCCTCCCTCCTCTCCCCCCTCCCTTCCCCCCT